GAACACTTTATTTAGATAAAACTGATTTAATATAAAGTTCATCTTTGACTTGGTATTAAGACTAATATCTGAAATTTAATTTGTGATATTAATCACATGAATTTAATTGCACTTGATTATTCTACGTATGACTTTAATCTTAAATGAATAATAATAGACTTCGACTCCTAACTTAAAGTTCTTTGATGTATTAATTGGTGAGATCAAATCATTAATCAATATTTCAATGTCTTGATAATCAAATTGAGATAACAAAGAACATATAATATTCACGATATAAAATTCATAACATAGTTAATAGGCAAGATTATGACATCAAAGGGTATTTTAGTGGAAAGTTAAATTTGAGCTAAGTAATTTGACATTGATCATTGAAATAATATTGTGATATGATCGCATGAGACATTTTTGTCATTTTACCTTGTTTCGAATATTTGACATGACCTACGGGCTGGGTAATATCTAAAAACAATAAGATAGATAATATAATTAATTTTTATATATAGATTTAGTAATTTCAATTAGACTAAAATGCAATCGCATTTTCTTTGTGGAATAGAACAGAATTATTAAATTATCTCAACCGGTTAAGAGTTAATTGAGTCAAATTTAGTTGAAGTTTATTTTATTCTATTCGATTACGTCCCTTTAGTGACTTCAAAATTAGAATTGGAATGATTATATGAATTATAATTTATTACTAGTTGTAGTGAAATTAATTAATTAATTAGACGGAGACGTGTCACATGTGCCATGTATGCAAGGAATTTGATTTGAATAGGAACGAAAATGAAGAATCATTTTAGGTTATGGTATGTTTTCATATCCAAACTAAAAGGAAGAGACCTTTTAGGATATTGATGTTTTCATATCCAAGTTATTTCTGTATTACACACACACATATATATACACGTATATTGAGGTTTTCATAGCCAAGTTACTTTTGTATTATAAATAGACACAAATAGAGGTTCAATTAAGAATACATATGTGTATATACATGTGTATATGTATATGCAAATCATGAACTGTATAAATTGACAAAAAGAAACATACGAATAACAACTGAGTGGCTCAATTTTGTAATTCAACAGGCTTCGATGCGGCTCAACACAGCTACTGTTTGATAAGAAAAGGAAAGATGAAATATATGAGCTTGTAACTCAATGAGTGGTATGTATATGTGTCTCTGTGTGTGTGTGTGTGTGAGAGAGAGAGAGAGAGAGAGGGGGAGAGAGAGAGAGAGAGATCTACTGAGATACTTTCTTTTACTCCTTCAATTTTCATGCGTGGCTAAACTTTCATATTTGGTCGAAGGAAACTGAAGCCTCAGAATCATTAAAACTGTGAAATCTAAATTGTTTTCATCATTCAATTTATGTTTTGAGTATCAGATGTTTTTCTGCATATATTTTCATGATTTTTGCATTTAATTACCAAGAGACCTACTAGTTTATTATTTGTGCAATTTACTTCTGGGTTAGATATCAAATTCATAATTATTTGATCTGCCTAACTTGTAAAGAAATTAAGATTTGATGCTTTACTGCATTAGAAATTGTTGAATCTTGGTAAGGACACTTGACTAAATTAAATACAACCACTTGTACTTGTGTTGTTTAGTTTTGTCGATCTCTCTAATTCTTAAGGTTGTTACCAAATTAAATTTAGAGTTTTTCAGATAAATATTTTTGTTATTTTTCTCTCTATATCTTATTTTCTATCTTTTGATATTTCTCTTAATGATGATCCTTTGGGCAAATTAAGAATTTGTCTTAATTTCCAACAATAATATCAAAGAATCGTGTCATTCGAAGTGTTGAAGCACAAATAGATATGTGAGGTGTCAAATACAACTTAGAGAAATATGATGGAAGAACCAATTTTGGAATATGATAAGTGCAAGTCAAGTATGAATAAATTGCACAATGATTGAAAAAGAGACCAATTATTAAGATTAGAGGTTTCATCTTAAAACGTCAACCTTGTTTAAAGAAGTAGTCCAAGAACTTTCTTAAGGAAAGAGATCCAACAGATGTAAATGGATGTTTACTATCGAATATAATACATATGGGACTCTAGAAATTTAAAAGCTAGATTAATGGCCAAAGGTTCTATTCGAACATATGAGATGGATTATTAGGAGACTTAATTCCCAGTTCCAAAAATGAATATTGTTCGTATATTATTGTCATTGATTATTAATCTTGATTGAACCTTGCAACAGTTTGATGTGAAGAATGTCTTTTTACACGGTGATTTAGGAAGAGGTTTATATGGAATCTCTACAAGGATTTGATGAAAATTTCAATAGCGATTGCATGAGTGTACTTTAGAAAGCTCTATGTGGACTCAAGCAATCTCCTAGAGCTTGATTGGGATAATAAATTCAAGGAGACCGTACCCTATTTACTAAGGATGATGCTACTCCATGTGATGGGGTGTAATTCATTGTGTCTATTAAAAGTGTACAAATAGAATTATCCATTTATTAAACACTTGAGTTCACAAAAGTTATATGCTTTAATTACTTGTGGAGATGACATAATAGTTATTAACAACGAAGTAGAAGAGATAGAACATACGAAAATATGTCTAACTATAGAGTTTGAGATAAAATGCCTTGGAAGGTTGAATTATGTCTTGGGTATCGAGGTAGTTCATTCACATATAGGTGTCTTCATATTGCAATTGAAGTATGTTATTATCTCCTTAAGAAAATATGAATGCTAGAATGAAAACTAGCTTACTCGCCCATTGAATCAAATCTCAAACTTTGTGATGATGAAAATGAGAACATGGTTGACCGAGGTATTTATCAAAGGTAGTTAGGAAGTGTATATGCATATCTCATACCATACCAAATTTTGGCCTATGTTACTAGTGTTGTAAGTCAATTTATGCATTCACAGTCATTTAGAAATAGTGTATATAATTCTTTAATAACTAAAATTTCTCGTAGAAAAGGGATTTTCTTCAAGAAAATAAAGAAATAAATTTGTAAGCATAAACAGATGTAGAATATTTACACTTCTGGAAGGTGATTATAGTTTCTTGGAGAAGTGAGAAACAAGCTATGGCGGCTAAATCAAGTGCAAAGGCATAATTCAAATCCAAGGTACGAGGAATTAGTGAATTACTCTGGTTGAAGATTATTCTTGGTGACCTCACGTTCAATTGGAAAAGAACCAATGAGATTGCATTGTCATAACAAATCAACTATCAGTAGCGGACACATACATTTTTAGCTAGTAGGGCACAATCAAACTTTAAAAAAAAAAAAAAAAGGACAAATCTTGCAAGGTCCGTGTTTATTTTAGACAAATCTTTCAAGAAGTTAATAAAGTTCAATGATTAAATTGGTAAAAAGAATAAAAATAAAAAACTTCAAGGACCAACTTAAATTTTTTCGCCCAACTTCAAGGCCCTTTATGAAATTTACTCGGTATAATAGGGTTTCAATTTATGTAACGGCATCAAATTCGTCATCCACCACTTTTCAGTGTTAACAATATTCCACAGGGAATCTCTTCCCTTCCTTCTCATCATTAAACCTTAACCCTCATTCTTCTTTCTCAATTTCAATTCTCCTTTTCCCTAAATTCCTAGACCCTCATTGTTCTATACGCATGAATATATATCCCATCTACTCTAATTTTCTCATTGCTTATGGATTCATAGACAAACAATCTATATAAAACGGTGTTGCAGCGGGATACAGGGAACGATACCTACACATTCTTGGAATTTAACACACAAGGAGAGGATTTTGATTACCTTGAATTTTTAGAGCTCTTACAACCTATCCAGTCCTCTTTCGTGTGACCCACACCTTCCAACTCAATGGTCGCATCCAACGATTCTTCAATGTGAAGGGCAACGTGAAGGACTATAGCAAGTGTAAAATAAATAAATAAATTAGTTTTGAAAAAGTTGTGACCCACCGTGACCCACCATGCCCCACTGTGCGTCTACCCTTGGCTATCAACATTGCCCATAATCATGTTCGACACGATTGTACCAGCATGTGAAGATAGACAGCCACTTGAAAATTTGGAAACTAGCTTGATTTGCACTCCCCGTATTTCAACGAAGGAGAAATTGACCAATAATTTGACTAAGGGATTAGGGGGCTATGTTTGGTAAACATTAAAATCCAAGATTTTAATATAAATTAAAGTCAACAAATAATTTTAACCACACATTTTATAGAATCCATAACTTTTTAACTGCACATTTCATCAACTTCTATTAAAATATACTAAAAAATTGATTTTAATTCTCAACAAACAAGAGCATAGTTTTTGAATGAATGAATTTAATAAGGATAAATTTAGAATATAATGTGGATGAATATAATGCTTTTCAAATTTTTAATAAAGATATATTTAGAGTATGATTGATATATAAGAATGATGGATGAAAATAGCGACTCCTTAAAGTTTTAATATTTCTAATTTTTTGAGCCTTGACCACTTTTCATCAAATGAACAAAAATCATTGTGAGGTAGTTTCAGTCTTGCTGGCAACTGCAGTATGAGAGTTTGATTCCTGAAATATGAAATTGAACTCTTTATAGGCACTAGTATACGGGCAAACTCTTATTTCCTGACCTGCTAAGATACATCCTGCCATTTAACTTTCTCACGATGCTTCAGAGGAAGGGCGAAGGGAGCTTTCAAAGTTGGAGTTCAACATTTTTTTTAACAAAAATCATTCATTAACAAGTTTTTGTTTGATGTAAATAAAAATTAATTTTTTTAGCAAATTTTAATAAAAATTAATAAAATATATGATTGACACAGTCATAAATTTTGTAAAATATATAATTAAAATTAATTATTAATTTTGAGCTGAATTTTGCTTAGCCCTATTTAGCCTCCGTTAATAGTGTAATTTATTTTTCTCTATCTTCTTATCAATCACATATTTTTCAATAAAATAACATCATACTTAATCTCAATTTCTTTTAAACTATAACTACGCATAAAATAAATAAATAAATAAAATACTACTCCAACCATTAAAATTTCAAATAATGGGACCAAAGGCTTATAACTACGCTGTGAAGAGAAATAGTTGGCAACCCTAAATGCTTTTGCCACAGTACGAAAGGAACTACTCTTGCATACACATGACACATTAAAGGATGAAAGCGACATCTAAATTATTAACATCAAACTTTTCTTCGTTTTTTTTCCCTTTTTCTTTCACTAAATCCCACATAATAAATTATGAAAACGGAGAAAATAAAAAGGAAAAGGAAAAATTATTCACATCAAATTCACAAGTGCCATGGTCATCCTCGTCTATAGCCGGCATAATCTCCCGCGTTTATTGGCCAGAAAAGTCATTGAAATTAACGGCTGTAATCATATCTTCTCCAACTTATCAGCTTGGACCACTGGATTGGCCTTGGCAATGGCCTCCTTGCCCATGGCCTTGAAATCAAAGGTACATCCGTGTTGTTCCGGGTACCGATGGCTCCCACAAAAGGTGGTCCCACACCTACACCTGAAACCCATTAACCCCACCTTCTTCCTGCACGAAAAGCACCTGCTGGGCTGGTGCTGCACCACTGGTTGTGCCACCGCAGGAGACTTTTCCGGCGAGGATTCAATTGGCCGCGTCTCCACCACCGATGATGACGGCGCAACCAAAGTCGGGGATGAAAATAAAGGAGAATCGCCAGGTTTGGAATTCTCTTGTGTCTCTTGCAAGCAAAGATCCCTGTAACATTTAGAACATAAATTTTTATAAGCAGGACTTCCAAAAAATCCGCAATTATTTGCACACAAACGGTGGCCTTCAGGAGCCTGAAATTGCTCTTCCGCCATGATTTCTCCGAGGAAAAAAAAAAACTCAAAGATCTCGACCAAAGAAAGGATCAGAATTCAAATTTATTCAAAAGGGTATCTAAAATCAACGAGAAATGAAGATACGACAGCAATATCTTATAGAAAATATGAAGGTTTTCTGTGGGAGAGGAGGAATCTACATAAGAGACGGAGAGAGAATCATAGATGAGAAGGACCCAAGGAAGTTGCCAAAAACTAAACGGAATTTAATAATAAAAAATGATGATCAAAGAGTGGGGACAGGCTGGAAGAGAGCCAGGGTTAATCAATGTGGGGTACCGCAGTGGGACACGTGGTTAAGGCTGTGTGGTGGTTGTTGATGGTGGCGCGGTGGTTTGTTAGGTGGCGATGACTACTGATTATTGCTTAGCTGTATTTTTGTGCTATTATGGCCGTCAATTTTCAGGCACGGGAGGGGAAATAAAATTGTATAAATAAATCTTGAATTTTGACCCTTCGTTTTGCCTAATACACTTGTTAATTCATAATATTAATTGTCACCATATTAATATCAACCAACCGTTTGATTATAATTTAAAGGGTAATTGACACAAAATGTCCCTACCTTTCAAGTATATTGTGGAAAACATTCATACCTTTCATTTTTTGGCACAAAACGTCCCTACCTTCCACTTTCTTGGCGCTGAACGTCTTTTTCATCAATTTTTGACGATTTTACCCTCCATTCAAACAAAACAAAAAGAAAAGAGAGAAAAAAATTAATTACAATCACATTCCCAAAATTTCTAAAAATTGCAAATGGTAACTTGATAATTACCATATTAAATAAATTGAAAAAAATCAAAAAATTAAGAAAAAAATAAAAAAAATGGGTTGTCTTCTTCACCCCACGCACCCCACCCCACGCTACTATTCATCTTCTTCTTCCCCCACCCCATCACACCATACAAAATCTCTCTGCACAACAAATCCTCCAAATCCGAAGCCCCATTACATCCCTCTGCATAATGGGGTTTGATACTGGATATGAAAATGAAGGAGCTTGTATAAAAAGGGGAAGTGCAGAGAGATGTAATGGGACTTTGGATTTGGAAGATTTGCTGTTCACCAAAATAATTATTTTGGGGAAAAGTCTGTCTCTCTTTCTTAATTTTTTTCTTACAAAGAAGAAGATGAATAGTAGGGTGGGGTGGGGTATGGTGAAGAAGACAACCCATTTTTTTAATTTTTTTTTTTAAATTTTTGATTTTTTTAAAAATTTATTTAATATGGTAATTATCAAGTTACCATTTACAATTTTTAGAAAATTTGGGAATGTGATTGCAATTAGTTTTTTGTTTTTTTTCCCTTTCTTTTCTTTTTTTTTATTTGAATGAAAGGTAAAATCGTCAAAAATTGATGAAAAGGACGTTCAGCGCCAGAAAGTGGAAGGTATGGACGTTTTGTGCCAAAAATGAAATTCAATGATGTTTTCCACAATACACTTGAAAGGTAAGGACGTTTTGTGCCAATTATCCTAATTTAAATTTTAATCTAAATTAAAATCAATGATTAATTTTAATTACATATTTTATGAGACCTACAACTATTCAACTACACATCTTACTGACTTGTATTAAAATTTACAAAAATTTTTTAATTTTAATCCATACTGAACAAGGACTAAGACAAGGGTGAGGGCTCACTAACAAATAATTGATTAAAAATTTTTATACATAAAATAAAAAAGGTTTTGAGTAAAAAATAAATAAATTGATAAAGGCTGGCTATCATTGTCAAGTGGCGCGATGTCGTTGTCTAAAGCATAAAACGCGTATTGGGAATTAACAACGCTTCTTCTTGGAAAGCTTCAAGAAGAAAGAAGCTTCACAAAGCACATCAGCAAGTTTCCTGTGCCGTCCCAAGTAGACAATAATTAGGATTTATTACCCCTAAACGAAGAGATTATATAGTATTCATCACAACCATTCGTTTATTTTGTTTGATCTTTTACGATTATAAAAAGACTTGTTAAAAGAGTCTACAAGGGTTACACGGCTCTCGCTCGAATTAAACACGGGAAAATAGAAGTTTAATATTATGAGGTGAATCGATGTTTTAGAATAATTAGTACATATCTAACAATTATACTATTTGTATAATCGTACTTCATAGTAATGGTTGACAATGTTAATATTGTCAAAATTCAAGCCATCGACTCGAAAAAGTTTTGAAATTAATAAAAATGATGTTACCAATTGTAAATTGTCCACCAAAATGTCAAATTAGATTGTACATGTAACATGATTCTATGTATATTGAATTTATGCACATACATACTCTTTAGTCAATTTCATGTAAAGAACTATTCGTCGATTTTACCATCCTCCCGAAGAGTTTGACTATGAGAATTGTTTAGTAATTCGGTTTTAACGATTCATGAAGTAATAATCGTTATTATATGTTGAGTCACGAGTTTGATGTGGTGAAAACTAAAATTCACTCAAGAACTAAGTCGGGAATCATCTGATTATAGTAGCCCATATCATAAATAATTCTAGTGAAAGTATAGATTACCACGGGGATTGAGTTACCGAGAATTCTCTCTTATGCTCAAAGTTCAACTCGAGAAACATACACATTTAATCATGAACGAATAACGATGACAATAAATTAATGTAAATTATATAGTTATCCGTATCTTTAATCATTGTAAGAGCATTTTCAAAAAAAAAAAAAAACTTTTTAAACACAAGATTCGCTTTATTTTAAAGAATGAACCATTAAAATTATGTTCCAAGAGACAATTCAAATTACCATTTTGAAATATAGGGAGTGTATTCAATTGAGACTTTTTGGACTTTAAAAAGTTTAGGGGTATTCAATTGAGATTTTTAATGATTTTTTGGAATTTAAAAAGTTTAGGAGTATTTAATTGAGGCTTTTAGAGAAACATACATATTTAACCATGAATGAATAATGATGACAATAAGTTAATGTAAATTATATAGTTATCCGTATCTTTAATCATTGTAAGAGCATTTTCAAAAAAACACTTTAAACATAAGATTCGCTTTATTTTGAAGAATGAACCATTAAAATTATATTCCAAGAGACATTCCAAATTGACATTTTAAAATATAGGAAGTGTATTCAATTGAGACTTTTAATGACTTTTTGGGATTTAAAAAGTTTAGGGGATTCAATTGAGATTTTTAGAGAAACATACACATTTAACCATGAACGAATGCCGATGACAGTAAATTAATGTAAATTATATAGTTATCCGTATCTTTAATCATTGTAAGAGCATTTTCAAAAAAAAAACTTTTTAAACATAAGATTCGCTTTATTTTAAAGAATGAACCATTAAAATTATGTTCCAAGAAACATTTCAAATTAACATTTTAAAATATAGGAAGTGTATTTAATTGAGACTTGTAATGACTTTTTTGAATTTAAAAAATTTAGGGGATTCTATTGAGACTTTTAGAGAAACATACACATTTATTTATGAACGAATAACGATGACAATAAATTAATGTAAATTATATAGTTATCCGTATCTTTAATCATTGTAAGAGCATTTTTAAAAAACTTTTTAAACATAAGATTCGCTTTATTTTAAAGAATGAACCATTAAAATTATGTTTCAATAGACATTTCAAATTAACATTTTAAAATATAGGGGGTTGTACAGTTGAAACTTTTAATGACTTTTTGGGATTTAAAAATTTTAGGAGTATTCAATTGACACTTTTAGAGACTCTCTAAAAGTCATGATGTATTCAATTGAAATTATATTCCAAGAGACATTTCAAATTAACATTTTAAAATATAGAGTGAGGTTGGCCCACGATCTATAATTAAATCCATTTAAAATATTTCAATTTTTAAAGTAAAAATTAATATAATAATTTAGAGGGAATCTAGTAAAAATAGAAAATGGGAAAAAGCAATAAATATTTTTGAGAGCAGTAAAATTGAGTGTTAAAGATAAAAAATCTATTAGAGCACTTAAAATTTTTACTCTCTAATAACATCTCTAAAGAAAAAATAATAATAAATTTTAAAAAAACTCTAAATACAAAATAATCTTTTATTTTAAAATGTTTATGCTTAAAAATAAGTTTAAGGATACTTTCTAATTTTTTTTTTTTTTTTTTAAAAAGATAGCGAGTTTGACTCTCTAAATTTAGCACATGTTTGGGTCCCATTAAAAATGTATTTTGGGGAAAAAAATGCAATTTTGAATAGTAATATTTTGAAGAATATGTGTTTAAAAAATAAAGAAAAGTTTTAGATTTAATATAATATTATTTAATTAAAGAATGTGTCGTTGAAAATAAGAAAGAGAAATGTATTTTTCGATAATGAAGCCCAAACATGGGCATAAGGAGTTGACTCACTCTTTATTTTTAATGTACAATGATTATATTTAATAAGTCATAGATTTCAATACTCTACATCTTAAACTATTCAAATCACATTTAAATTGATTGGTCATTGACATATAAAAAATTACTTTAAATAAATATGAGTAGAAATTAATAAATATTTTTAAAAAAAAGGCAAAATAAAGAACTAAAATAGAGAGCATTGTCAGAGTGTCTAAAAATTTTGACTTTCAAAACTTAAAGACATTCTCTATAATGTATACTCCCTCCATCCGAATTATATAGGTTTGTTTCATTTTTCAAACAAATTAAGAATTCTTTTTTAATGTCATTGAAAAATTATTTTTTGCCAAGATTTTTCCTAATTTACCCATATTTAATTTTCAGTATGTAATAGTAAATTATTGTTAGAATTAGTAAAGAATTTGAATAATTTAATTTGAAAAATAAGAAATGAGAGTCGTTCCATGTTTTCAAGAAATGAGAAATGTGTGTATTTGGATTATTTCAAGAAGTTTGGTATATTAAGTTGGGAAAGTTAAATAAGGATATATGGGTAAATGAACAAAATAAAATATTTTAAATTAAGAAACAGATCTATTTATTTGGGACAAGAGAAAAAGGAAACTCAACTTATAAAATTGGGACGAATGGAGTATAATAAATAAAAGAGTCTTTTGAATACGCTTTTTAAATTTTTAAATATGCTCTTCAAATATATAAAATCCCTAAGAGAGACACAATCTTGTAGGGATCCTATTTTGTTGGTATCTAGATAGATATGAGCAAGTTATAAACAAGCATAGGTGGTAAGGTTGTGAATGGTGGTAATTTTGGGTAGACATATCAAAATAGGCAGGACGGTTCGAACCAATCTAATGAACTGTTGTAACATATCGGCCCACACTTGTTTGCAACTATCCATTGCGGTTCTTGGATCAGGTCAAAAAATTTTAAAGTTTGTACACACTCGGTAGACCGCCAC